ATAGTCTTAGTTATAACATGTAGTGGTAGTAAATTACTAATTGCCAAGTTACTCATCATGTAGTTTGTTCTATGCAGCATCATTACCAAAGTGGTTGAGGTGGGGTTTTTGGCTTTCTCCCATGTCATATGGGGAAATAGGAATTACACTCAATGAATTTCTTGCTCCTCGCTGGCAAAAGGTACCTTCTAAGATGATTTATTTGGTTTCTTGATAGGTCACAATATACATTTATATGGATTTAATTCATATACATTGTCAGGATAACGACTTTTACATTGTCAATTAATCATAACCAGAAGATCACTACAAACATTTGACGTTTATTCCAAATGCCACTGAAGTCACACATATAACTGGTTGTAATTTGTTTATAGTGTAAAACTTTTTACACTGGCAGTGTATCAAAATGAATCTCCAGATATATATATATATATATATATATATATATATATATATATATATATATATATATATATATATATATATATATATATATATATATATATATATATATATATATATATATATTATTATTGTTATTTTCATCATTATTATTATTCAGATCCAAGAGGGAAACATCACCGTTGGAAGGGAGGTTCTCAAGAGTCGTGGTTTAGACTTTGATAGCAACTTCTTCTGGATATCAATTGGAGCATTACTTGGTTTCACAGTAGTATTTGATATACTATTTATAGTAGCATTAACTTACTTAAAAGGTGAGTCCTATCCATGATATTACAAGGAAAAATATCAAACAATTGTTTTATTTTGCTCAATCCACTGATTTGATGGGAAATGCATTCAGAGCCAAAGCAATCTCGAGCTTTAGTTTCGAAAAAGAGGCTGCCTCAACTAAAAGGAGGAGAAAGAAACAACGAAGTGGAATTAAAAAATAAGTCAGTAGCAGTTGATATTAGCCACACATCGAAGGAAGCTCAAAGCACAGGTAGAAAAGGATACTTTATGGTAACTTATATCACAGATGAGTTCTTTCTTTCAAACAGATAGTGACAACTTTTGGTTTCTTTTGTCTGGTTGGTTATGCAGGGAAAATGGTCTTGCCCTTTTTGCCACTGTCAATAGCATTTAAGGATGTTCAGTATTTTGTTGACACTCCTCCGGTAAAATTCATAATTACGTTATTGTAGTAATATGATTATGTAGATTGTTGACAAGGTTGTCAATTAAGAAATTTACTCTTCTTCTGAGCAGGAGATGAAAAAGCATGGTTCGAATGAGAAAAATCTACAATTACTCTGCGATATCACGGGAGCGTTTAGGCCAGGAATCCTTACTGCATTGATGGGAGTCAGTGGAGCAGGGAAGACAACACTCATGGACGTCCTTTCAGGAAGAAAAACTGGAGGTATCATTGAAGGAGATATAAGAATTGGAGGGTACCCTAAAGTGCAAAAGACATTTGCAAGAGTTTCAGGTTACTGTGAACAGAACGACATACATTCTCCATATATAACAGTAGAAGAATCTGTTCGATATTCAGCTTGGTTGCGGTTGCCAAGCGAGATTGATTCAGCTACAAAAGGGGTATGGGATTTGTACCGTGGTTTGTCTGTTATTTTCACATAAAAGATGCGTTTTTTAACTTTCTGTGTGTATCTATTCTGCAGAAATTTGTTGAAGAAGTCCTTGAAACAATTGAACTTGATGATATTAAGGATAATTTAGTTGGTATTGCTGGTCAAAGTGGCTTATCTACCGAGCAACGTAAAAGACTAACCATAGCAGTAGAGCTTGTATCCAATCCTTCAATAATTTTTATGGATGAACCTACATCAGGTTTGGATGCCCGAGCTGCTGCTGTAGTTATGCGTGCAGTGAAGAATGTTGTTGGCACCGGTAGGACCACAGTTTGCACCATACATCAGCCAAGCATCGATATATTTGAGACTTTTGATGAGGTAGTCAAAACTCAAAAGTACTTTCTGTTGTATATTTGTGTGCGGATGACATATGGATCAACAAATAACAATGAGTTACTTTTCATGCAGTTGATTCTAATGAAATCTGGAGGCAAGATCATATATAATGGAATGCTAGGCCATCATTCAAATAGACTGATTGAATATTTTCAGGTATGCTCAGACCTGAAGCGAAGTACTTAGTGTTTTAGTTTCTGGACAGATCCATGTGATTATCTTATTTGCTGAAGTTCTTTTCATGCAATGTACATTCACAACAAATTGTGCCTTAGTCGTCACCCCTTTGCCTGAATTGTTGAAATTTATATCTAATTGACTTGACTGTCCATCAGAGTATACCGGGAGTTCCAAAGATCAAGGACAACTACAATCCTGCAACCTGGATGTTGGAAGCTACTTCTGCATCTGTAGAAGATGAACTTAAAATAGATTTTGCAAATATATATAAAGAGTCGCACCTTCACCGGTGAGCATGGGTTTGGTTATCATTCATTTTCACAGAAAAAATACGGATAAAGTCTTCCCTTTTTCGTATTTTATGTGTACTAACTGTTTCAGCTTTAATGATAGTGACAGTGATTAGGAATTTGAAAGAGCACTTATCTCATGTTTTGAATTACTATTTTCATTTCTAGGGATACCCTTGAATTGGTGAGACAGATAAGTGAACCAGAGCCAGGTTCAAAAGACTTGCATTTTTCAACTCGCTTCCCACAAAATAACTTGGGGCAGTTTATGGCATGCCTATGGAAGCAACACTTGTCCTATTGGAGAAGTCCAGAGTACAATTTAATACGATTTGTGTTCATGATTGTTGCGGCAATAATATTTGGGGCGGTATTTTGGCAGAAAGGGAAGGAAATGTAAGTTTGCTTTCTTATGCAGCTGTTAACTTGAAGCAGTAGAGATTAATAAAATACTGACTTGTGTTTTTTCTACGGTTAAAGAAACACTCAGCAGGATTTGTTCAATGTGTTTGGATCAATGTATATTGCTGTAATATTCTTGGGAATAAATTACTGTTCAACAATTCTACCGTATGTGGCAACCGAGCGCTCCGTCCTGTATCGAGAAAAATTTGCAGGAATGTATTCTTCCATGGCTTATTCATTTGCACAGGTATGATCTCTGCTTAAAGCAAATTCAAGTGGTATTTATTTTATAGTAAAACTAGTAATGTTAATAATCAATTTCTTTTTTAAATTTAGGTGGCTATTGAAATACCATATATCTTAGTGCAAGCAATTTTATATGTGGCTATCACCTACCCAATGATAGGTTTCCATTGGTCAGTTCAGAAGTTGTTTTGGTATTTCTACACCACATTCTGCACATTTCTATACTTTGTATATCTTGGAATGCTGGTAATGTCATTAAGCTTAAATCTGGATTTAGCTTCAGTACTGTCAACTGCAGTCTACACCATATTCAATCTCTTTTCTGGATTCCTCATGCCAGGACCTGTAAGTCTCTCATTGATCTTCAGAAATTTCTTTTCATAATTTAGTCTTTATAGTTTAGATCGAACAAAATCATAGTTGCATCCTAAATAATATATGTCTGTGCGGTTCTAATATGGCGAAGTTTTTTTGTTAATGTTTTTAAAAGTTGAGTTTGGCTAACCAAGGTTTGAATTTCTGATTGGCTAACTATGATTATTATGTGCAGAAAATTCCTAAATGGTGGGTTTGGTGCTACTGGATTTGCCCTACAGCTTGGTCCTTGAATGGCTTATTAACTTCACAGTATGGAGACATGGACAAAGAAATACTCATATTTGGAGACAAAAAATCAGTTGGTTCCTTTCTAAAAGATTACTATGGGTTCAGGCATGACAGATTAAGTGTTGTGGCTGTGGTGCTCATTGCTTACCCAATTATCTATGCATCCCTCTTTGCCTATTGTATAGGGAAAATAAACTACCAAAAGAGATAGAAACAGATATCACACATTGCTTCTTCTGCAGTGTGGTGGCTTCAATTTTCATGTATAGAAATATAGGAATACAAGGCTACGTCATTGAGCAAAACCTCTCTTGCAATTGTTTATACATAATATACATTTTTGTTTTGTATTTTTGTAGTAAATGATGTAGATTGGTTTATTTTATCATGTATTTTTCGGTTTTAATTTGAAATTGTTCATTGTTTTAATTGTTATTTTGGAATTTGATTTATAATGAATCATTTTATTGTAGTTTGGAAAGGAAAATTCAGATTTGTTTAGCTTTACTGGATCTACAAACATTGAGACACTTTGAAGATTATATGATATGCATTGTAACACTTCTAATGATAGTTTGATATAAAAGTTTCAACATTAAGATTTGTCAAAACTCTAAACTGGTTGATCTTCAATATGGTTTTGGAAATTGAAGAGCAAAGCTGCAACTTAATAGTTCTACTAGAAACCATACAAACATGATATACAGGTACACTGACATGAACACAGGAATATGATAGATTTTTAATATTATATGACACAACATGAAGATAAACATATTAATAAATACTTACATGCTTATTCAATAGTCAATAACTTAAGATTTTAAGAGTAAAGTAAACATGAAATATTTGTCATACCTATCTGTACTTGCAAAAAAGTGGAAAAAAGAAGTAAAATACAACTAGGATGGCTTTTATTTTGAAGTGTTTCTGCTTCCTTGGCTATAATACCATCATCCAGATATCTTACAATTATGTAAATTACCAAATGGAGCCTAACCGATAAATTTAACCTTCCAAGTAGCTTCCTTCAGACAAGATGAGATGGGGTAAATGTAAACATGAGCTCAAATTTGACACAGGACACTAGTAAGAAACGCAGATGTTTAAATTTCTTCTCTCCAAGTAAAATGGATGACAAAAATTTAAATTCAACTTTACAACAAAGTAGAAGTCGGGTAGGAAATGCAGCCATTCATCACGAAAAATGAAGCTGGAGTGCAACTCAGCAACTAATCACTCCATCCACGCCAAAAAGAAATTAAACAGCTGCTCAAGACAAGGAAGAGATGAAGAATACATATGTATTAGCGGTCTGGAGTAATAAAACAAATCAACTAAAGATTTCATCCTCAGGCTGGCTCACTATCTTATCATCACCGGTTATCATCGTCTTCTTTTCCTGCTCCAAATAATATATCTTGTCATTCATACCCTCCTTTCTATATGCCTCGATCAGGATTGAGTAAGTTGTGTCATCCGGTTGAGATTGGTTATCTTTCATACGCGTGAAAACTCTCTCCATTTCCATCAAATCTTCCGCCTTTGCACATGCAGATAAGACCGCGTTATAAAAGGCAGTGTTCACTGGTATCTCAAGCTTCGCAGCCAAGTGAACACTACTAATCACTTTATGGAAGAGCCCTGCATTTGCAAAACCATTGACAAGGCAGCAAAATGTCTTGGTATCTGCTCTCATACCCTCAGAACGCATCTGATTAAATGTATACTCCATATTTTTATCATCCCCTGCAACTGCAAATGCCTCAATCACATTGTTGTACGTAGAGGTGGTCCATGGAAATTGCAACTTTCGCATATATTCCATAACAGATGACATTTTGTCATACATTCTTTTCTTTCCATAGGAACCAATCAAGATATTAAAAGTACGTGTTTCTGGTTCTATCCCGAAATTACGGAACTTTTCATACCATTTCTCCATCATATCAATCTGACCCATATTACCAAAAACACTAATGATCGTATTCATGGTCCAAACATCAGGCTTGCAATCAGTGCTCTGCAGCATACTCGACAGAACTTGCTCCATCCGATCAAACATCCCTGCCTTGCCATAACCATTCAAAACAATGTTCTGCGTAACAGTATTAGCCATGATGCCTCTTTGAGACATTTCTTCATACAGTAACTCAACCAATTCAAATTTGAAAGCATCCACACAGACTTTTATCAATGTGCTGTAAGTGAAAACATCAGGCTGACAAAGAGGATGGCTCTTCATCTCATTAAGAATCGAAAAGGCCTCATCAATCATGTTGCTCCTGCAATACGCAGCGAGCAACGCCGTGTATAGTTCGGGAGTAGGGTCACAACCCTCTTCAACCATTGTGGTAAAAAGCTGACGGGCACGGTGGGGTTGACCCGATTTTCCAAGTAGCACAATGAGTTTCATGTAAGTCCCTTCTTTGGGCTGGTAAAAAGATTGTTCTCTGAGCATGTCAAATACCTGCACAGATGAACAGGTAATTTAACAAAGTAGAATCAATCAGACTCGTCTCATTTTTGGACACCCTGTGTAGGTTAGGCACAATTTAACCATGGAATAATAAATAGAGTCTCTCTTTAATCACAATTTAACCTGACAAATATTTTATGAGCCCCTATTTAGATATAGTTTAACCCTGACAAATTTGAATCATGTGCGGTAGTCCGTCTTGCAAGACCTCAAAGACGGCCCTGGAATCGATCATCCAAACTATACTACGCATAATTAGAAGTCTTATCAGATACAAACTGACTTATTTGAATTTATCTACTAACATAAACATTTGCGACAACCTCATGACAATGTCAATAAGCTTATGAAAACAACGTATATCCAAAATGTCTTATCAGATATTGACTTATTTGAATTTATCTACTAACATAAACATTTGAGACAACCTTATGACAATGTCAATAAACTTATGAAAACAACATATATATTATGAAAACAGTTTCACCTTATTTTATCTTTTACAGTAGAAATAGCTTATACAGATAAGTGATTATGCTATAAGCTCTAATTAAGCTGTCCATCCAAACATGACCCAACTGTCAAACATACAAAATTAATGAAATTTGACAGCAAAACCGGATACCTCAAGGGCTTGAAGCCACTGTTTCTTGTCTATGCGTTCAGATAAAGCTTCAGTAACAGTGTTAACCCAAGCCTTAGCATTGTTCTTTCGGTCGAATTTCTTCTTGAGATTCTTAATCGGGCTCCTCCTCGTGCTCCCCTCAGATTGGGAAAAACCCGGAAACTCGCCTTGTTTCCAGTGTTTCTTTTTGACAACTGGGGAGGAATTGGAAGCGGATTTTGAGGGTGGAGGTGAAATTGCGCAGCGGGTAATACGAAAGGTTGAAACTTTGGGTCTTGTGTGGGTTTTGTTGCATTTGGGTTGGGGAATTGGAGAGGGGACAATGGAAGAAGAGAAGGTGAGAGAGACAGAAGCCATATCCATAGCTCAGAGTGTAGAGATTGATTACTAAGAGAGCATTGAAGAATTGGGATTTGAAATCAATTCATCTTCTCAATGAATGAATTCAAAGTGCTGATGATATTTTTACATTTTCATACATTAATTTTGTGGATTTAAATATTTTTTTCTCTTTAAAAAAATATTTCTTGGAGTTGAAGGGAAAAAATAAAAAATACTCCCAACTTTCTAAAATATTATTTGTTCGAAAATAAATATTGATTTTGATTTTCAATAATATTTTAATTTCTATTTTCAAGTTGTATTTTTTTAATTAATACTTCTAATAAATATATTTATAAAACATAAATAGTATAAATTACAAATATAAGAAGAGTAAATGTTGATAAT